TATCATCTGTACATTCTTGTGTCGTTGTGGTCTATGGTACCTTTGGAATGTTTTTATTCATCTTTTCTTTATGTTTTTTATTTATTTAAATATTTATTAATTTTTTAGATAAACAAGTTATACAAACATACTCATTAAAACCTTAGCATATTATCAAAACATTTATCTTTTCATCCCTTCCCCGCCCCCCCCCCCCCGTCACCCCCTCCCCCTACCTATATACAACCCATCCCCCCCCCCCTCCAATCCCTAAACCCTTCTGCTCTGCATTTTCCTGTTCATTTCTGGAGATCGGAATCCCTATCAAAGAAGAACAAAATATATTTCCATATTATTCTATGTTAATCCCCCATAACCTCTAAGGCTAGCCTTGACTTTTTGAATTCCTCCCATTTGTTCCATCTTGTATGGGGACTCTGCATCTTATCTTCATTCAAATGATAAAATTCCTCCAATTTACATATTTGATCCACCCAATCTTTTATTTCGGCACCTCCTGTCTCCTCCAATACTTGGGTATCAGTCCCTTTGCTGCATTCAAATGGTACAATAATCCAGATTCTTTGTATTTTTTAACATTTTTTCTTCATGTCTTTTACCTGTAAATTTGAAAATACTTTCTTAAATAAACAGTTATAAATAAAAAAAAAAGACAATCCCTGTCTCTGCAGAGAAACATACACTGCCATGGAAGAAAAAGAGAGGGTCTAGCTAAGGCAGAAATAACTACAGTTGCAAGAAAAAGTATGTGAACCCCTTGGGATTACGTGGAGTTTTGGATGAATTGGGCATAAAATGTGCTCTGAACGTCATCTAAGTCACAACAATAGAAGAAAACAGTTTGCTGAACATAATACTACACAAAAATTAGATGTTGCCATGGTTTAATTGCACATAACATGTAAACATTCACAGTGCAGGGAGGAAAAAGTATGTGAACCTTTGGACTTAATAACCGGTTGACCCTCCTTTGGCAGCAATAACCTCAACCAAACGTTTCCTGTAGTTGCAGATCAGACCTGCACAACGATCTGGAGTCATTTTGGACCACTCCTCTTCACAAAACTGATTCAGTGAAGCAATATTCTTGGGATGTCTGGTGTGAATCGCTCTCTTAAGGTCATGCCACAGCATTTCAATTGGGTTGAGGTCAGGACTCTGACTGGGCCACTCCAGAAGGCGTATTCTGTGCTGTTGCAGCCACATACTTTTTCTTGCAACTGTAGTTTAAACAGGAGGGGAGGACAGGGACAGATACCAAATCATATAGTAAACAAGTTATAATGGCCCAAAACTGCCACTAGATATCAGCATACTAGAAAACAATAGCAACCTTATGTTGTTCAATGCAACACAGAAAAAATATATATAAGTGGAGGGATCACTTTGTTCCTTTTTGTTGTTGAAAGTGAACATGCTCCATTGCTTGGGTAAATCACGGTCACTGTATTGCATTAGTTTCCATACTATATGGGATCACATGTACTAACGCATGGAAGTAGGTCCAGCTGCATTCAAATCAGATTCAACTTTATGTGGATACCAACACAAAAAAAAAAAAAAAAAAAAAAATTGCCAGGATTGCAATGTAGTCCAATGTATCAAAACTCATTCTAACATCAATGCATGTTGTATATGGCCTAGATTCACTCATAGCTGTCTGAACGAAGCATCCTCCAACGCAGACAAAGCTATGATTTTTACTGGGGATTCTTTGGTTAATTCTGCATCATTTAACGCATAATTATGGCCCCCCCATCACACCCGAGTGTTTTGTAGGCCGAAGCTCAAAACTCCAAAACTCTCAGGGAGAAAAAAAAAAAATTTTGGCCTGAAGTTGGCCTCAATCCAACTCCTGAAGCGAAAAAAAAAAAGTTTTGGCATTTCCTTTGTAGCTCGAATCAGACAGATCGATGTGTTTTTTGAAGCGTTTTCTTCTCCATAGAGATGTTTTTGAGCATTTTGTCACACGTTTTTGAGTGTTTTTCTGCTCAAATGCAATAATTAAAATGATTACTATTATTAATAATATAAATCATTAAAATGATTACTATTATTTTTTAATTATTAATATTAATAATAATATTTGAATACATAGATATTAAAATAAATAAATAATAATAGCAATCATACAATAAATAAATAATATATAATAAATAAATAATATATAAATTAATTAACCCCTAACCCTAACTAACTAACCATAAATAATAAATAAAACAAATCCCTAACCCTAAATAAATAAAAAATAAAATCAACTCCTAACCCTAACCTAAATAAATAATAAATAAAATAAATTAACCCCTAACCCTAAGAAAAAATAAATAAATACATAAATAATGGAAATAAATATACCCCATAACCCTAAACCCAAACCATTAATGTAACCCATAATTCTAACCCCAAAAACCCTAACTAAAACCTTTAATCCTAACCCATAACCCTAACCCCTAACTCTAATCCTAACCCTAAACCCAACCCCTAACCCTACTCTAACCCTAGCAAAAAATAAAAACAAAAATGAATAAACAAAAAAATTTTTTATTATGTATTATTATTAATTTTAATATAATAATAAATACTAAAATAATTGAATTAATTAATTAAATCCCTAACTTTAATCCTAACCCATAACCCTAACCTCTAATCTCTAACCCTAACCCTAACCTAACTATGTAACCATAAACCTAATCCCCCTAATCCTATCCCCTAACAAAAAAAACAAAAACAAAAATGAATAAACAATAAATGTATTATTATGTATTATTTTTTTTAATAAAATAATAATAATACATGAATTAATTAATTGACCCTAACTCCAATCCCTAACTTTAATCCTAACCCATAACCCTAACCCCTAATTCTAACCCCTAAACTCTAACCCTAACCATAAACCTAATCAATATCATCCCTTAAAAAAAAAATAAAAACCGAAATGAAATAAACAATAAATAATTATGTATTATACATTTTTTAATACATAAATAATAATAATACATGAACTAATTAATTTGCCCTAACCCCAACTCCTAACCCTAATCCCTAACTTTAATCCTAACCCATAACCCTGACCTCTAACCCCTAACTCTAACCCTAGCACTAACCCTAAACCCAACCCCTAACCCTAGCAAAAAAATTATTATTATATATTAATTTTAAATAATAATTCAATTTATTGTAATAATAATAATAATAATAAAAAATAATAATAATAAAAAAATGAATTAATTAATTAACCCTAACTCCAACCTCTAATCCCTAACTTTAATCCTAACCCATAACCCTAACCTCTAACTCTAACCCAAACCTAATCCCTAATCCTATCCCCTAACAAAAAAAAAAAAAAAACAAAATAATAAATGTATTACTATGTATTATTAAATTTTTAATACATAAATAAATAATATTATTATTATTATTAAATAATTATTATTATTAATAATAATAATAATAATACATGAATTAATTAATTGACCCTAACTCCAATCCCTAACTTTAATCCTAACCCAACAAAAATAAAAAATAAAAATGTAATCTTAACCCTAAATTATACTTAATTTTTAATTTTAACCCTAAACCCAAACCCTAAAATAAAAAAAATAAAAATATTTTAAAATGAATAAACTAAAAAAAAAAAAATTATGTATTATTATTAATTTTAATATAAATATATAATAAATAATATTAATTAATTAACCCTAACTTACTCCAACCCCTAATCCCTAACTTTAATCCTCACCCATAACCCTAACCTCTGACTCTAACTCTAACCCTAACCATAAACCTAATCCCTAATCCTATCCTCTAACAAAAAAAAAAAACAAAAATTAATAAACAATAAATGTTTTATTATGTATTATTATTTTTTTAAAAATACATAAATAATAATAATAATAAAATAAATGAATTAATTGAACCTAACTCCAAACCCTAACTTTAATCCTAACCCATAACCTATCCTTTAACTCTAACTATAACCCTACCCATAAACCTAATTCCTAATCCTATCCCCTAACAAAAAAAAAAAAAAAACAAAAAAATAATAATACAATAAATGTATATTATGTATTATTTTTTTTTTTTTAAAAATAATAATAATAATAATAATTTAAATTAAATTGACCCTAACTCCAATCCCTAACTCTAGTCCTAACCCTAAGGCTACTCTAACCCTAACCCTAAACCCAACCCCTAACCCTAGTAAAAATAAAAACAAAAATGAATAAAAAAAAAAGAATTATTATGTATTATTATTACTTTTAATATAGTAATAAATAATAATAAAAAATAATAATAATAGTAATAATAATAAGTTATTTTTAAGGCCGTTGACAAATGTTTATCTCACGAGCGTGCAAACAAAAATGGAAAAAAAAAAAAGTAATTAGCATACCTCAGTTGATCACAGTTTATTGGTTCCTCCAGGTTTACACGGGTGACACCCGCAGTTTATATGCCAGCAAATTTATATTTTATAGTTCTCTCATCTGTCAAGGAGCCAAACTTCTGTCTCAATTTTTGTACTAATTTACAGCGGCGGTGACTAAGTGAGTTGTGTACGTTTACGAATCTGGCCTCTTTCTTGTTCGTATTTGTTATATCTTTTAATGATGAGCAGGGGCGGACTGACAACTCATGGGGGCAATAGGGGATCATGGGGCCCCTGTGTCCTTGCCAAAACTCAAAAAAGCCTATGAAAAAGGTACCAGGGGCATCTCATGGGGCCCCCTACTGACCCCGGGCCCTCGGGCAGTGCCCGAGTTTCCATATGGTCAGTCCGCCCCTGATGATGAGTCACTTGTAAAAGCATGTATTGTTTTTATCCCTAAGGCTCCTTTCAGAGCTCTGCGATGTGGGACTGCGTATGTTCCTGCATTGCGCGAGATCCTCAGTTACACGGCCATGAGAAATCTATGCATGTGTAGTGAGCAGGGGCAGACTGACAACTCATGGGGCCCCCAGGCAATAGGGGATCATGGGGCCCCTTTGTCCCTGCCCACACTCATAAAAAGCCTATAAAAGGTACCAGGGGCATTTCATGGGGCCCCCTACTGACCCTGGGCCCTTGGGCAGTGCCCGAGTGCTCAAATGGTCAGTCCGCCCCTGGTAGTGAGCCCTGGGATTCTTAGCTCTGATGAGGAACACCATCACACCTAGATCAGCTTGTTGGACATCCACTTCCAGAACCATGGCCATTAACCACTTCCAGTCCGGACACTTTCACCCCCTTCCAGTCCGGACACTTTCACCCCCTTCCAGTCCGGACACTTTCACCCCCTTCCAGTCCGGACACTTTCCCCCCCTTCCAGTCCGGACACTTTCACCCCCTTCCAGTCCGGACACTTTCCCCTCCTTCCAGTCCGGACACTTTCACCCCCTTCCAGTCCGGACACTTTCCCCTCCTTCCAGTGCGGACACTTTCCCCCCCTTCCAGTCCGGACACTTTCACCCCCCTTCCAGTCCGGACACTTTCACCCCCCTTCCAGTCCGGACACTTTCCCCTCCTTCCAGTCCGGACACTTTCACCCCCTTCCAGTCCAGACAATTTCACCCCCTTCCAGTCCAGACACTTTCACCCCCTTCCAGTCCGGACACTTTCCCCTCCTTCCAGTCCGGACACTTTCACCCCCTTCCAGTCCGGACACTTTCACCCCCTTCCAGTCCGGACACTTTCACCCCCTTCCAGTCCGGACACTTTCACCCACTTCCAGTCCGGACACTTTCACTCCCTTCCAGTCCGGACACTTTCACCCCCTTCTTGTCCAGGCCAATTTTCAGCCTCAATTCAATTTCAATTTTTCAATGACACCTGTTCCAATCTATGTGACCTAAAGTTGCAGCGACTTGGAGAAGGCTCCTGTACTACTTTCCTACGACTTGCGTGCCAGAGAGAGTAAAGTGTCATCAAAGTCACAGCCGACTTTGTAGTTGCACTAGTGGGAATGGAGCCTCATGCGACTTTGGATGGGTGCGACTTGGATGCAGTTTTGGATGGATGCGACTGGTGGGATGTGACTTTGGATTGTTTTAACTTAGATGCGACTTTGGAAGGGTGCGACTTGGATACTACTTTGATGATACTTGAGTGCCATAGAGTGCTATCAGTGTTGCACTATATGAACAGAACTGTCCTATTTTCCTATTGGTCATAAAAAAAATAAAAAAAGTCACATTAAAGTCGCACCCATCCAAAGTCACATCAAAGTCAGTACTTTCCTATTGGCAAAAAAAAGTGCAAAACGCATTTAACCACTTCCAGCCCGGACACTTCCACTCCCTTCCTGCCCAGGCCAATTTTCAGCTTTCGGCGCTATCACACTTTGAATGACAATTGCGCGGTCATGCAACACTGTACCCATATGATTTTTTTAGCATTTTGTTGAGACAGATAAAAACTTTATTTTGGTGGTATTTATTCACCGCTGGATTTTTTTCTTTTGCTATATGACTGAAAAAGTGTTTTTCTTATAACATTTAGAAAATAAATAATCTTTCTTCATAAATCTTGGCCAAAATTTATTCAGTTATCTTTTTAGCAAAAAAAAAAACCCCAAATTACTCTATAACCAAAAAATAAAATTTAAAAAAAAAAAAATTAATTTTTATTTATTATTATTTGTTTTTTTTTTTACATACGGTCACCCTAGCAGTACAGTGTCACCATGGTGACACTGTGCTACTTGTGGGGGGTAATGAAGATTTTTTTTTTTTTTTTTACACTGATTGCTTTTACACTCATAAAGGCCATAAAAGCAATCATTTCTCCTTCTCTCTGGCTGCATTTTTGCAGCCATTGAGAAATACTGTGTGAGCCGTGATTGGTCACAGCTTGTCACATGGTACAAGGCTGTTGTGAATAACCTTGTACCATGTGACCTCTGTGATCATTCACAGATTTCACACGTAGTAAGCAATGATGTCAGAAGTGACATCTTGCTTACTACTCTGCATTTGATCACTGATTGGCCAATCAGTGATCACATGAGGTCCCGTACAATGATCGGTGTTCCACTGTGTCAGGAGGACAGAGCGGGCACCGGATCGTGGTGCTGCATGCTCCCAGGGAGAGCGCACAAGCAGGGGGTGGGGAGGACGTTGATAAACAGCCACCCAACCCTGCACTGCCACCGTCTGGCCGTTTATATACAGTTGCAAGAAAAAGTATGTGAACCCCTTGGGATTACGTGGAGTTTTGCATGAATTGGGCATAAAATGTGCTCTGAACGTCATCTAAGTCACAACAATAGAAGAACACAGTCTGCTGAACATAATACTACACAAACATTAGATGTTGCCATGGTTTAATTGCACATAACATGTAAACATTCACAGTGCAGGGAGGAAAAAGTATGTGAACCTTTGGACTTAATAACTTGTTGACCCTCCTTTGGCAGCAATAACCTCAACCAAACGTTTCCTGTAGTTGCAGATCTGACCTGCACAACGATCTGGAGTAATTTTGGACCACTCCTCTTCACAAAACTGTTTCAGTGTAGCAATATTCTTGGGATGTCTGGTGTGAATCGCTCTCTTAAGGTCATGCCACAGCATTTCAATCGGGTTAAGGTCAGGACTCTGACTGGGCCACTCTAGAAGAGTATTCTATGCTGTTGCAGCCATTGTTTTGTTGAATTACTTGTATGCTTTGGGTCATTGTCCTGTTGCATCACCCATCCACTGCGGAGCTTCAGTTGGCAGACAGATGGTCGTACGTTTTCCTGCAAAATGTCTTGATAAACTCTGGAATTCATTTTCCCATCAATGACAACAATCTGTCCAGGCCCTGAGGCAGCAAAGCAGCCCCAAACCATGATGCTCCCTCCACCATGTTTTACAGTGGGGATGAGGTTTTGATGTTGGTGTGCTGTGCCTTTTTTTCTCCACACATAGTGTTGCGTGTTCTTCCCAAACAACTCAATCTTGGTTTCATCTGTCCACAGTATATTTTGCCAGTAGTGCTGTGGAACATCCAGGTGCTCTTTTGCAAACTTCAAACATGCTGCAATATTCTTTTTTGGACAGCAATGGCTTCCTCCGTGGTGTCCTCCCATGTACTCCATTCTTGTTTAATGTTTTCCTTATTGTAGATGCGTCAACAAAATGTTAGCATGTGCCAGAGATTTCTGTAGGTCTTTAGCTGACACTCTGGGATTCTTCTTTACCTCATGCAGCATTCTGCGCTGTGCTCTTGTAGTCATTTTTACAGGACGACCACGCCTAGGGAGCGTAGCAACAGTGCTAAACTTTCTCCATTTGTAGACAGTCTGTCTTACCGTGGACACATGAACATCAAGGCTTTTGGAGATACTTTTGTAACCCTTTCCAGCTTCATGCAAGTCAACAATTCTTGATCGTAGGTCTTCTGAGAGCTCTTTTCTGCGAGGCATGGTTCACATCAGACAGTGCTTCTTGAAACCAGTAAACCCAAAACAGGTGTGTGTTTTTTAAGGACAGGACAGCTGTCAGCAACACATCCAATATCATCACACTGATTGGAGTCAAGGTTGGCTCACTCCTGGCTCCAATTAGCTCTGGGAGAAGTCATTAAGCTAGGGCCTCACATACTTTTTCCTCCCTGCACTGTGAATGTTTACATGTTATGTGCAATTAAACCATGGCAACATCTAACGTTTGTGTAGTATTATGTTCAGCAGACTGTGTTCTTCTATTGTTGTGACTTAGATGACGTTCAGAGCACATTTTATGCCCAATTCATGCAAAACTCCATGTAATCCCAAGGGGTTCACATACTTTTTCTTGCAACTGTATATAGGGAAGTGGTTAATAAGGATTTGGCCACCTGCTTGTGGCCATAACAGCCTCCTCTTTCTGGGAAGACTTTCCTCAAGAATTTGACATCTGTCTGTGGAAGTTTTTACTTATTTAGCCAAAAGAGCATTTGTCAGGTCAGGTACTGATGTTGGATGAGAAGACCCGGATCACAATCAGTGTTCCAATTCATCCCAAAGGTGTTCAGTAGGGTTGAGGTCAGGGCTCTGTGCAGGACATTCGAGTTCCTCCACATCGAACTCATCAAACCCTGTCTTTATGAAATGGTCATGCTGGAACGGAAAAGGACTTTTCCCACCAGGCCTGATTCTAGCAGGGTGCTGGGGTGGACTGTGCTCCCCCTAAGAGTGCATCCACTGACCCAAGAACCACTCTAAAGGGGACAGTTGAAGTAAGGGGGATCCTGGTGGGGACAGTTGATGTATGATGAAATTCTGATGGGACGGTTGATAAAAGGGGCACTGTGATGTGGATAGTTGATGTAAGGATGTACTCTGATGCAGACAGTTGATGCAATAGGGCAATTTGATGGGGACAAATGATGTATAGGGGCCTCTGATGGGACAGTTGATGTAAGGGGGCACTCTGATTGAGACAGTTGATGTAAGGGGGGCTTTGATGGGGACAGTTGATGTAAGGGGAATTCTAATGGGACAGTTGATATAAGGGGACACTCTGGTGTGGACAGTTGATGTAAGGAGGTACTCTGATTCAGACAGTTAATGTAAGGGGACACTCTGATGGGGATAATTAATATATAGGGGCCTCTGATAAGGACAGTTGATGTAAGGGGGCACTCAGATGGGGACAGTTGATGTAAGGGGGCATCTGATGGGGACAGTTGATGTAAGGGGGCTTCTCATGGGGACAGTGGATGTAAGGGGGCACTCTGATGGGGACAATAGATGTACAGGGCCACTCTGATGGGAAAAAATTGATGTATAGGGGCCTCTGATGGGGACGGTTGAAGTAAGGAGCCACTTTGATGGGGACAATTGATAAAGAGGGCCTCTGATGGGGACAGTTGAAGTAAGAGCCACTCTGATGAGGACAATTGATGCAAGGGGACACTCTGATGAGGTCAATGGATGTAAGGGGACACTCTGATGGGGACAGTTGAAGTAAGGAGCCACTCTGTTGACGACAATTGATGTAAGGGGACACTCTGATAAGGACAATTGATGTAAGGGGACACTCTGATGAGGTCAATGGATGTAAGGGGACACTCTGATGGGGACAATTGATGTAAGGGTACACTCTGATAAGGACAATTGATGTAAGGGGACACTCTGATGAGGTCAATGGATGTAAAGGGACACTCTGATGGGGACAGTTGAAGTAAGGAGCCACTCTGTTGATGACAATTGATGTAAGGGGACAGTCTGATAAGGACAATTGATGTAAGGGGGTACTCTGATGCAGACAGTTGATCTAAGGGGGCACTCTGATGGGGACAGTTGATGTAAGGAGGTACTCTGATGCAGACAGTTGATCTAAGAGGGCACTCTGATGGGGACAGTTGATGTAAGGAGGTACTCTGATGCAGACAGTTGATCTAAGGGGGCACTCTGATGGGGACAGTTGATGTAAGGAGGTACTCTGATGCAGACAGTTGATCTAAGAGGTCACTCTGATGGGGACAATTTATATATATAGGGGCCTCTGATGAGGACAATTGATGTAAGAGGACACTCTGATGGGGGCAGTTGATGTAAGGAGGTACTCTGATGCAGACAGTTGATCTAAGGGGGCACTCTGATGAGGACAATTTATATATAGGGG